CTGCCCTCATATTGCAAGTATAAGATTTTTATTACTGTGATCCATTCTGTGGTATCGTTTGTGTGAATAAATCCAAGTGTCCTTCATGCTACACTCTATAAAACATGCAGTAGAAAAGATTATTCCCAAAACCTTACAAGGTAGATTTTAACAGACCACAATAAACAGCTAAATCTCAGGCAGTGGAGAGCAATGAGACAAAGCTGAACAGCCTAATAAGAAGCAATGCCTTTTTGGAACTGTTATTCCCTTAGGAGTAGCTGTTTCTATCTTGAATAATATTTTACTTATGAGTGGCACAGAAGAAAAATTCAGAAACTGGAAGGGTTCTTTTGCCCACAGAAAGGCAGACTGTGGATTTTACTACTGAGAGCTCTTCCAAATATTTCATCTACAGACAGATTAATTATTTTGTTCTTGCTGGAATTGCTAATATTATAACTAATTTAGATGGTGATTCCTTCTGTCATAGATATCTGCTTGAAGGGATGAGACAGAAATGTACTGCAGTTAAATGTAGAAAGCTCTCAGATACAGGAATGGATGTAAAATGAGGAAGAACAACCAATCCTCTCCTTAAACTAAATCAACCATTACTTCAACACAAAAATATCTTGCTTATTCTAAAGGTATAACTGAGCTTGAGTCATCACTTTGGTCCTCACAACATCTCATTCCTGCCTATCTTCTGTGATGATACAAGCTTACAAATCCTCAGTTTCTGCTCTCTTCCTTCACCACTGCACTGAAAGACAGCAAGAGCAGACAGAATCCTTCCTTTTCCTTTGAAAAAGCTGCTGGCAGAGCTAGAAAGGGCTAAAATAAAGCCCTGCTTACAGAGTTTTACTAATCTTAGAGACACAGCTGAACTCTTTCACTAAATGCTAAATTTCTAAAGGTTTTGCTTATCTTTCTATGTGAACGCTGTTTTAGGGATGATGTTTGCAATAATATGCCTAAATAATTTCTTCCTCCCTTTCTCTATGATTACATTCAGGGAAGTTATAATTTTTATTTTTTAAAGTCAGACTAGAAAGACATTTCAAACCCTTTAATTTAAAATACAGGAAAAATAACTCCCAGTTTTTCATCACTCCAAAGTCTCTAGTGATTTTTGTGTGTAATACATGACTCTGTCAATGTTTCTTTGTAACACTGTTGACTCTACAGCACATGGCATCTTATATGGTCTTGAGAAATTCGGTCTTTGGATATAGCTGTGGTCATGGGAGATGCCAGTGTGTTAATTTTATTTTACCAAAATCTTTTACGTAGATTTATTTTTCTCTCTTAACCCCTGCAGCAATTTTTCTCATTCATATATGTTTGTAAATCTTTTTTTCAATGGTGTTTTCATTTGGGCAGGCATTTCTGATTGAGAAGTTAGTGGGATATGCAGAAGCCACACTGAAAAATTCGGTCTCTCTGGAGCTTCCCTGCTGGAAAGCACACTTTGATTCCCTTGGTGAGCTTTCCTCAAAGCTCTTTCATGCAGAAGCAGCCAGGGAAGTGTAAAAACTGCCTGTGGTCTTACTTACTAGTCTGCCCCATTTTTGTTGAGAAACATCCGACTATAACTTCTTACTTGAGGAGAGTGAGAGGAGAGACAGGAGGGCTGTGAGGGAGAGCTGCTGATGTGGTCAGGGCACAGTGCTGAAGCCAGAAGGAAATATTTGGTCACTGACACAGCCACTGTGTGTGGTAAAGGCAGCAAACCTCACAGGCTCCAATCTCTGCTGCCAGGCTACAATCAGTGCATTTGTTGGAGTCAAACTGGAATAACTGTAAATCAGAATTTCTAGACCACTAAGCCATTTCCTGGGTCCTGTATTCTGCAAAAGAAACTTCATTACATAATGAAGGCAGATATGAATCTGTTGTTACTAGATCTGTTCCTGCTTGTCTTAGCATCTCATATATGTTATTAGATCAACTACGACTTAAAAACATAGATATCGATGAGCATTTGTCCAAAGCCAGGGACCTCATAAAATGGGAAAGCTGGACAGGACAGAACACACATCCAACCAATATGATTAATGAAACATTCTCCCTTTATTCAAGAGAAGATGGCAGTTTATATACACTTTTATATAGTTTACGGTTTACAAAGGCACTCTCATTGGCAAGCTAACATTGTTTATCTTTGCCTTAAGGTGGTCAGGCTTTTCACACTGCAGCTCTACTCTAATTCACACTCGGATAACTCATTACTTTGTAGTTACCTTAACATAATTTCTAACTGCACCACAACTGAATTCTTACTGCATCAAAAGGCTTCTAGGCCCCATCAAGGCCGCTTATCAGGGGCTAGTCTGAGTGGGTAGCTCAATTCTCATTCCAAACATAAATCATGCCCTCTCTCTCTCAGAAATTCTGTAACATTTGTCTATATGTGTCTATTTGTGATCCATCAATATATCATAGAATGGTTTGGGTTGGAAGGCACCTTAGAGACCCCCTTGTTCCACCCCCTACCATGGCAGGGACACCTTCCACTATCCCAGGGTGCAGCACCAAGCCCCATCCAGCCTGGCCTTGGACACTTCCAGGGATCCAGGGGCAGACACAGCTGCTCTGGGCAGGGCCTTCCCACCCTCACAGGAAAGATTTTTTTCCCAATGTCTAATCTAAATCTACTCTCTTTCAGTTTGAAGCCATATGGCAGGGAAGAATTAAATCCTACTTTCACTTTCTGGCTGTAATATCTTTTTTTGCACTTGTTTTTGGCACTAGCACCGGCTGCTCATTTCCTTTTTTCAGTGTGTTAAAAGACTGCTTAAAGATTGTCATAGTATAAGCAATATACACTGAATAAGCAAATAAGTGAAAAACCCATTTGTATTATTTAGATTTTAATTTTCAATTTTTTGTTCCTAGTGTATCTTTTGTGTAAAAAAATCCTGTCAGTTTTATGCATTTGTGTTAGGAGGATTTCAGTAACTGGGGAAGGTGTAAGCAGAGTGTTTGACTACTTGACACATATTTTTAAACAGATTAAGCCACCATGATTTATTTATTGTAGGTTTTCAAAATTCAGGAACAAAGTTCACAGAGATTATTAGAAAACCTGCAAAGGTAACAACAGTTATCAATTTGGAATTATGAATAGAATTAAATTATAAATACAAATTATTTTTGTTAATAAAATAATAAGTTAAAATTGTTGTCTTGTCTGTAACAAGAAATAATTCTTTTCAGAGGGTTGTGGAAATCCTAATGCCCTAACTCGTATTTCTGATTTTTCAGGAGCTCTTCAAGAAATCTCGAAATTAAATATATTATCACTTTATGACTTAATTATTAGCCAAAATAATTTTTTAATGTATTTATGAATTGTCACAAAAAGAGGAAAACTTTAGACTCTTCTCTAAAAAGCCTGTAACTTGTTTTGTTTCTTTTAATCACTGCAATTTCATTGTAAGTCATTAAGTTTAAACTCAGGAGTTGTAAAAAGCGCCTTGTAAATTCTCAATAGTTTCTAAAGACTATTGAAATTGCTGGAAAGAAAATGCACTGTCCAAGTCTTCACTAACTTTCATGTCTTCCCAGGTCATTGCATAGTAGATATATATTTTCTATTAAGAGACCATGCCAGGACCTAATGGTTACTGTGGTGGGGACTAATGTGGGATATAATTTTCTTTCCTTCCTCTTATTTTATTAACTAATTTTGTTAGAGGAGGGGAAAGGAAGGGGAGGGAAGGGAAGGGGAGGGGAGGGGAGGGGAGGGGAGGGGAGGGGAGGGGAGGGGAGGGGAGGGGAGGGGAGGGGAGGGGAGGGGAGAGGCAGTCAGGAATTGCTTTCCAGGGAGGGAAGCATAATTAGATTTAAGAACCTTTTTTTCTATTAAGAAAACAGGCCTTGCAGCCGTACAGACAGATAATGGTCCCAGTCTTGCTGGGAGCACACTCAGCCCAGCTACTATTAACTAATATTTCAGACCTTCAGGAAGTTTTATTATTAAAAAGTGGAAGTGTCTGTATTTAATCCCAAATTTTATACCAAAGGGAATTGCTAAGGCTGCCACATTCTCTGGATGTGAAATGCAGTAAACAGGGACTTCTGTTTGGAATCTTTGAACTCTAACACCAGTCTGTGCCTACAAGGACACAGGACTGGGCTCACTGTCCCTGTATAGGATATGCATTTTCCCTGACTTTCCCAAACTCCAGCCAGCCATGGGAGGCTGTTCCACTGAAACAGGGCTATGAAGGCTGGTGTTGCCTCCAGCACTTGCTGTGTTCAGTGTGGCACAGCAGGGGTTGGAGGCAGAGCTTTGGATATCCAGGTTTAGCTTTTGCTTGTCACTGAGACTGGTGAAGTGGGAGATGAACTCTTCTGAAAATTGGAAGGGACTGAATTGCATCTTAGACCATATTTAACTGTGTGTGGTAAAAAAGTGTGCATGATGAGTTTGTGCTGTGCAGACCAGACCTGAGGTAATAAGTGGAACATCTTGGAAAATAATGAGATCGAGCCTGAGGAGCTGACAAGGAGGGGAGCTCCAGACAGAACAGATGGCAAAGAGACATCAGGCACATTCCCATGTGTGATGAGATCACATACATCACTTACATGCGCTAATGCAATTCATAGGCTGGTGACCCAGAATTAGGTTTTTCCCCTTGTACTATTTCATATTTTATGTGTGCAATATGCAGTATATTCATCCTTCTCTTTAATATTTTATCATCTTCTATTGCACCAAAATGAAGAGGGAAAATAGATGGCCATTAAATATAAATACCAGCAGCTCTTCAAAAAGTTCCCTTTCCCTTGCTTCCCTTTCTCAGCAGCAGGATGAAAGGTTGTGTAGATGCTCTAAAACTGGTCTGAGTCTTTTGACATGGCATTTTCCTCCTTAGGAATTAGCAAGAGAGATGGCAGATGTGGGCCAAATATTTAACCTTTGCTGCCTGAGGTGTGTTAGTGTTTAAAAGTTATGTTTCAGGAAATGAGAACATCCCAATAATCAGTGAAATAAAGATTACAGAACATTATTTTTATGTGAAATTCTAAAATTATATTTATTGGCCAATTCACAGAAAGTGCTGTAGTGATCACAAAAATGACTTTGGTTTTATACATGTATGGATGTACAGAACAAATTTTAAAATAACAGACCTATTTGGAATATGAATTTAATCAGTCCTGTGGAAAACATATGGATACTAAAATTTTGAATTCATAAATGACTGTGAAAATTGACATGGCTTTTATGAAGTACGCCACTATGCCATGGAGGAGCTTTTGTACAACTTCTTTCTCTGTGTAAAGTTAGGGTTTGTGTACTATACTGTGTGTCAAAGTTTACCGTACATTTTCATTAAGAAAGGGTTGGGTTTTCTTTTTTTTTTAAAGAGCTGATTCATATATGTTTAAAAAAAATCATTTCATATTAATATTTTCATTTGCATATAGTCATTTAATTCATTGTACTGCATAAATTGTGTAGATTCATGCTTTCAGATATGCATTTAACATCTGCAACAAGACATTTCAAGATACGGTTTATGGTTGTTTCACATAAACTACAAGATATTTCATGTAAGAGCATTTTTCCTGGGCTGAACAGTCTGTTGGTTTGAGACACATTTACGGAGTACAACCATTGTATGTACAACCATACAGCATATGTTTATTTAATCCCTTCTCTGGTATAGTTTTCATTATCCATAGAAGTGGCCTCAACTACACAGAATTTGGACAGCTAGGAAGCGATCCCAAGCTACAAAATCCATGCTGCCAACTGCAGTTACTGCTCCTTAACAAGAACCAATGCACTAACACAGAAGCAATCTGGCAAATTACGAACTGTGTGGGAAAAATTGTACATTTTTGCAGGCAGATGAAATAACATTTTTACTGTCAAGAGATGATGACACATGAAATAGAATTATGCCAGCCAATTAGAGCACAGCTGTTACATTCAACATGATAATTTCTCAGCTCTTCAAAATCCTACTCCCTCAGTAATATCTAAATGTTTAATAACTGTATAGTTAAATCTAACTAGAACAACCCCTTTCACCAAACTGCAGCAATATTCAGGGGGAGTATCTGATTCCTGCCCTGTTGCTCATCACAAGTCATGTTTTACATCTCCTTGCTCAGGAATTCGTCTTCTTTTTCCTCTCTTTTGTGTTTCAACCTGACCTTCCAAGACTCATTCATCTTCCCTCCTGTCCATCAGACTTTGAGTACTCCTCATGCCATGGCTCATTTTGGGAAGGTGGGCAGAGCAGTGACAGCAAACAGCCAATGCCAAGGAAGTAATTATTTGCTCATGTGACCTAAACCCACTCCTGGCAATTAATTTCCTACAATATGGTTTGCACAAATTACACCCACTAGGGACATAGATGTGCTGAGGGAAGCAGAGAACTCCCTAAAGTCACCCCTGGAACCCTCAGTGTTCCTGCTCTCCCCTTCACTCCAATCCTTGCAAACAGCGCAAATGAAGAAGAAATCAAATTCTATTTCCCTTGGGTTTTAAGTGATGCAGTGGTTCTTCCAGCACAAGTATTCCAGTTCTGGTTTGGAGTTCAGGTACAGGAAGCAGGAGCAGGTGAAGAAAACACATCAATGAAAAGACCAAAGCTGCCTTTGTACATCTTCTCTGTTTGCCTGTGTGGCTTCTGAGCCAGCAAACACAGGCTTGCTTGGGAAATGATTGAAAATATACTGCATGGTCATCATGCCAGCCAGAGATCAGAAATGGATCATAAATTTGCAATATAAGGATCAGCATGGCAATTATCAGAAGAGCTGGCAAAATTCTATTTCTTTGTACCAGTTAGTGCCTATCTAGAAATCTTGAGCATTTGTTTTAGAAAGCAGGTGCATTCTGTTGACATTTGAGGAGAAGCAGTATTATCTGTCTTTAAGTGAAAGTACTAGTTAATAGCTGCTGTTTAGTGTAGGGACCCTTAAAACCATGGGCCCATGAATGACAGTCTGTTTTTACAATAATGACAGCAACCTAATTTTTAACAAATTATACTTTGTATTACTGTTTGCTTGTCTGTAGTGTTTATTGGTTGGCTTTGTTAAATCATACCCATTTAAAAGACACTGCCAAATTAATATCATATGAGAACTTATCCATGGATTACAAAAAAGATTTTTTAAAAATCAAGTTTCAATTTAAATTTATTGTTTAAACTTTGACAACTTATGCAGTGACATCAGCAACACAGAACACCTTAACAGAGTGAACTGACAGTGACTCATTTAAGGAAATACTAGGGGATTTAATTTGTATATTAAAGACATTTCATGAAAAGGTAAGAAACACAAAACTCAAGGAATGAATTGGGATGAGGAGGGATTCACAGCTTCTCTAGTAAATTACCAAAGGCAATGAACTTGATAACTATCTAAAAATATTCAAAGGATATAAATCATGGTTAGAGGAACTATTTAGAGTGGCTCAAAAGGGTCTAACTGGGACTAATGAGATAAAAATTATAAAAAGGATTATTTAAATTCATTTTCAGGAAAAACTTTCTAATGGTGAACTCTAATAGACTCTAGAACAATCTCCCAGGGCAAGCAGTAGAAGCCCCAGGCTTAGAAACATTTAAGTAGGTTGAAGCACCCCCATCCCTAACGCTAAAAAATATATTATAGGAAAGAATTCTGCACTATTAGCATAATACTCTACTTGCACTACTTTTTCCTTTTGTCTACTAATATTTATTTCTAGGATTTGAAGTTTACTATGAACTTCGAAATACACTGATGTTGAGATGAAACAGTTCTCAGGAAGCCCACCCATAGTGTGTATTACCCTGCAAAGCAATAATCCACCTTGGTGTATCTTTCCATCCCTGTCATGATGACCCTTTGAACAGAATTGCCTGTTAACCACAACCAAAAATTTACTCAACTGGTGGTGCAGTATTTGTAACAGAATACGTACAAAAACCCCATCTCTTTTCAGATGTACCTCACACTTTTTTTATCAGTTTGTGGAGAGGCCAAAAATAAATGTGCCAGTAGTTGATTCTGAGAATGAAGGCAATAACTTCACCTCTCAGATTGGCACAGACATGGTCATTATCCTTAAAAAGTTTTATATTATGTATATTTTCAAAAATCAGGATTCCTAACTGTGTGGCCATTTAGGAGATTGTATCACCACAAAAAGTTTACTTGAGGTCCTTTTCAGTATGGAATATAGTCTGTCTGTCTCCAGCTCCTCATCAACCCATAGAGTATGTTTGTTGTAGAAAATCTCTAAAACTAATCAACAACTCTGTGGGCAAAAGGTCAATTTCTTACCTCAAATTAAACTGTGTGGTAAACTGTACCCTCAGACTCAAGTCACAGCAGACAGAATGTTTGCCCCAATCCCCCTGGGCTGGCCTTGGCTCTAAATTTTTCTATTTAATGCACACACAGTGTAGCAACACCTCTCACGGCCCTGCTCCCTTCCCAGCTCTGCTGGAGGTGCTGTAACTGGAACTCAAGGAGGCAACTTTAGCATCAACCAAGCTAAAAATCTGCAAGTTCTCCTTCATCATAACAGCCACCACCTCCCCTTGGGCACCATTCTGTGATTTTCTTGTACACACATATGTATATGTATTCAACACACATATGTGTGTATCGCATCTATGTCTGGTCATCTCGGAACCCTTTGACATCTGACATTCATTCTCTTTCTTGTTCATCGTGACAGTGTCAGTTCTGGCATGGAAACAGAAAATGTTTCAATTTTCTTACTATTTGACACTCAAGGTTTTATGTCTCTTTCTTTTCTACGAGATTGAATTTCAACTTTTTTCACATAATTGTAAACTCTTTCTGTTATTCATGCAGTATTCTCTTCTGCTTTCCTGTTCACTCTTCCTTAAATAATAATTTGATTTTCTAGTGGAACTGACTGTAGTTGATCCATTCCACATTCTAAAGAGCTTCCCAGTTAAAACAACTGTCCACCTTCTCCTCTACCATACATTAAGCAGTTTGTAGACAAGGATTTATTGCCAATTTCAGTACTGGTTTGAAATGTCATTGTAGTCACAGACTTGGCTAGGGTTGTCTGATCAAGTCTTTTGTACCTGTTTATATATTTAGGTTAGGCAGGAGTAGAAAAAAAAAAAGACATTGTAATTTTAATAACTTTTTGCTTTTTCCCCCCCTTAGTATATCCTGAAACCTTCAGCCAAAAATAGTTTTATGGGTTAGTACACGAAAGGACACCTGAAAAGAACTTTATACCCAGGTGGGAAGTTAAATGCCTCTGAAAACCCAAAACTGTATCCAGATTTACACAAAAGGAATAGGGCTGCAGAAAAGCATTTTACTCGATGAAATTTTCTCGGTTTCTGAAGTATAAGGATGGAATACCATTGCAAAATCTTTGTTCCCTATTTGGAAGCTTCTTCTCATTGCATGTGGCAAGCTTTGTGCACCTTTCCCGGGGAAAGCTGAATGTTTTTATTGTACAATGTACTTAACTGGGAAAAAAACTGCTGCTTTTTTGTTCTCAGCACAGACATAAATAGTGACAGTACATGGGCATGGAGCTTCAACAGCTGATGAATGCACAATTTCCCCATGAGCTAGTACTCAAAATAAGAATGAGGGCTTTTCCTGAACTCTGTTTCACACATTTGCAGTGCTTCATGCTGCTGAGTGTGTTTCTTTAGAGGCAGTAACTAATAAAGCACCAGCCCAGAGCTCTCCACTGTAACCATTGTGTCTTTCCCTCTGCATGTGTTTGGAGTCTTCATCATGGAGGGCTGGGAGCAGAGCTGCAGGAGAATTACTGAATTATGGTTCACCACCAGGCTCTTTAACAGGGCTATTCCAAAGGATTCTAGCAGCACTGTTCCTGTTGCCAGCAGAGACATGGAAACCATAACGAGCAAACCACTGGCGATACCTACTCCAAAGGCAGCAAAATGCCTCTAGGGAAAAAGTGTACCTGCTCTGGTGCCTGCCTTTTCATCACCAGGAATGAAGTTATGAACATACAAAACTTCCTGGGTTCATTTTATTCTGCTAAGTTTCAATAATGAGGGCTACAGTTGTTTTATTACTTTAAACTCCTATCTTAGACAGAGGCTTATGAAATTAAAGCCCTTGCTCCCCTTTCGTTTTTGCACTGTTCAAGTGTTGTGTATTTTTAATTTGTGACCATGTCTTTTTCAGAGAAAACCAAAATCAGAAAGAACATACCAGGCTTGAACCTTGCTAATCCTACAAAGGTGATGAATTATAATTACTTTATGAGAGATCACTGGAGCAATTTTCCCAATATATTTAGCAGAAATATTTCTTGAGACTGGGTGTGTTAAAAGAGTATGATTTTTGCTGTGCAGTAGCTTTAGTGGCTATCTCTATTCTTTGTATCTTTATTCTTCATGCTAACAAAAATGAAGTTGGATTCCAGGAGAGTCTAGCAATCAGAAGTCTGATCACTGGATACACAATCTGAGACATGCAGCTTTAGGGAACCTGATCCATTTCAGTTTACATAACATCTCACATATTGCTTGTTTATGCCTTTCTTTATTAAAAAAAAAAAAAAAAAAAAATGACCCAAATGTACAAATATTGTACAGGACCACAGCTTCTGGGTGCTGTAGAAAATATTACAAAGTGTAATGATTTGGTGCATGGGTATGTGGGTTTCTCTGGAAGCACCAAAGTCTTTGAGGAATGGGCTGGCTACTGTTCTTATGGCAGTTTGCAGTGGCACTGGAATGCTGTGAGCTGGACAGGCTCTGGGGGCAGCAAGACTGTGCAGGAACAAGGCCTGGCAGCTTCCTCTGCTCTGCTGAGAGAGAACCTAGTGCCAATGGTGATATTGACTGGAGCATGAGGGAGATTATACAGCACCGGGTTATGTACAACCAACAGGAATGAATTTAGTGACTTAGAAGGTGGTTTGATTTCTTTGGCAATCTTTTTGATATTTATGTTTTGTCATTTAGGGTTTTTTCTCCTATCTTCTTAGATTTACTCACTTGGTGTAGAACTACTTTAAGCAGTTGCTTAAAGGAAGAAAGCAGTTCTCAATGCAGAACCTGATAAAACCTGATAAACCCTCTGAGACTGGGGATATCCTAGTTTTGAGATATTTATTCTGGTCAGCATGTGTGAATTAAGGGAATGGGAAGCCCCTTAGAGAAGATATATTCAGTTTTGCTTCCTTCCCTTCTCTCAGTAACCATATGCTTTTGCAAATATCCTTAATTTTGGTACTATAATTTCTACTCCAGGGTACCAGGAGCAGCCCCATCCCACCAGACCTTTACCTGCTGTCACCCCAGTAAAGTCTTTCCAGGTGCTGTTCTGTGGAGATGGAGAGCTGTGGGTACTGGCACCAAAACTTTGAGAAGAGGCAGTGTTGGGTCCCAGTGCACTAGGACCCCTACCAGGGAGAAAAGTAAAGCTGCCTCTGAGGTTAAAGCTGCGGAAAGGGACAGCTGAGACACAAATTATTTATTATTTATATTTTATCAAAGCTCAAAAGGCTTTGCCCCAGTGCAGTAAAGGCTGCTACTGCATTACCCTCTGCCCATCCTTCACCTGGGGCTACTGATTTCCCATTGCATTATTTTGAATTATTTTGAATTCTTAGTTTAGGGTCAGGCAGGGACAGCTCCTGCAATGGAGAAAGTAGATTTCAACCACAGCTCTGAACTCTCTGATCCTTTCTGAGCCTTACTTTGTTCCAGAATGGAGTAAGGATGGTGCTCAGCAAGCTCAGTACCACTATATGCCAGAAAGAAAAATAAACTGCTCCCTTTCATTAGCCTCTGGTGAGGTAAAAAGCAGTCCCACCACCACTGCAAGGTATTACCTGTTGGAATGAAAAAATAGCAAGAGTTTATTTTAATTAGTATTGAAGATGTCACAAACCTTATGTTTATTTCTAGATGTGTAAGCCAATGCAGTAAATATTGATATTAATCTAAACTGCATTTTAAGATTTACTTGCAAAGATAAAATACCTGTGGAGGGGGTAGAAATGAAAGAGAAATGGAAGCTATTAATCACAAATAGCCACTTAGGCAGTTACATTAATTCAGATAACATCTTCAGTTTGCATTTGTAGGTTTTACAGCTTTCCCCAGCCTTAGATTAGAACTCCAAAAATTTAAGGGATCATTGATGTGATGTCATTTTAGACCTGTGTTGTCACCTCTGAATTCCTGGTGCCATGAATTGTGGGTACCTCTTCAGAACTGCTTTCTTTGGATAGACTTGTTTATTGCTTGTGTAAAGAAGCCACCTCACCACAAGACAGACCCTGGTGGGCTGCAATGAGCACTTGGAAGAGAACAGAGCTGGGGAAGGGTTGGAGCACCAGGCTGATGAGAAACAGCTGAGGGAGCTGGTGGGACTCAGCCTGCAGAAAAGGAGGCTCAGGAGGGGCCTTTTTTACTCTCTCCAATTCCCTGAGACGTAGTTATCAGAAGAGCTGGCAAAATTCTATTTCTTTGTAGCAGTTAGTGCCTACACAGCAGTTAGTGCAGCCAGGTGGAGTTGGTTTTTCCTCTCAAGTAACAAGTGATAGGACAAGGGCAAACAGCCTTGTTGTGTGCTGGGGAGGTTTAGATTGAATATTGGGGAAAAATTCCTCATTGAAAGGATGGTCAGGTATTGGACAAGGCTGTCCAGTGCAATGAACAGTCACCATCCCTGGGCGAATTCCAAGACATGTGAATGGGGGACCTGGGAACATGTTAGCAGTGGGCTTGGCAGTACTCAATGACCTTAGAGGTCTTTTCCAACTGGATGGTTTTACAGTTCTAAACACTTTTTTTCAGGGGGAAAAGGAGAGAATTTTGGCTTTTGATTAGGGGCAAAAAAAACCCACGTGTGTGTCTTTATGTACATATTTGTGTATATGTTCTCGTTGGTTTTTAAACAAGTAGGTTCTTGTCCTAGGGTGACATTATGGTGCTTGTATCTCCAATCGTGTGTTCTGTTTATGCTTGATGTTATGTTCTGTGCCTTCAGGACATAATATATTTTTGGGGGGGATGCAATTTTGTTAGAATTGCTTTAGAAAAATTGATATTTCTGTGATTTTTCTAGTAGCAGTTTTGCTCAGGAAACCACTGCTCTCAGTGGTATACAAATATTCTAGGGCCCATTTTGTGAAGAAGTACCTCATTCTCACTGCCATTCTGTGAAAAGGATGTTTCTGCTTATTTGAATGAAAAATGCTGCGTAATGCACTCCAGTGTGTAATCTAAAATAAGTACAATGATGCATTTAGTTTGCTGAATATATTACTGCAAACCAAGTTTTAGTGATAACACACATGCCTGTATGACTTTGCTTAGGTTTAAAAATGTAGATTTATTTACAGTAGAGAAAATACTTTGTTTCCTTTTTGTGTAATGTACGAGTACAACCTGAAAAGATGTGCTTCCAGTAGCAAAAAGATTACATGGGGAAACACACTGATGAATTCACAAACATATAAAAGAATTAAAGACTGTCAATAAGGTTGTAAATTGCTGTTTTCAACTTGCCCTAATATTTGCTATGATAACAGCAACAACAACAACAACAATTATAATAACAATAATCAGGAATAACAAAAAAATTAAAATAATTTAAGTCCAGTTTAAAATCTGAAATTGACTTTTAAATATCTACATTAAATTTTGAAATTTTTTTTCTGAGTAGAAAGATTCGGTGATATGTGCTGATAACAGGCATCATGAAGAGCCTCCTTCATGTCACTAAAAAATTAAAACTGGGAAATTATCTAGGACACTAGGATGGTAGGAACTGATCTAACATAACATTTTCTTCAAGATAATCAGAAATATTAATATTAATTTTGTATTAAACAGAAATTGTGGTCATACTTAAAGTTGTTATCCCGGCAGATAAAATGTACTTATATGGCCTTGATTCTGCACATATTCTTTTAAGTTTAATATGTGTGACAGAATAAAATGAAACAGGATTTATAACAAAAGAAATCTGCTGTATTGCCAGTCTTAACAGCCATGTGACGTGATTGCTGGCACAACAAATAAAAGCATGAATATCTAATTTTAAAATTAATATATATTCTTCTTTCATTTACTTTCTAGATATTCTACTAAAGGGCCTAGTTGCTGTCAGTATTTCCCTTCAGCTACTAAATGCAGAAAATTGAATTATAAAAATCCCTAAGCACACTATTTATTTCCTATATCCCACGACATTCAGGAGCTGTTAATAAGTCAGTACTGAGGGAGGTGGGTACCCTTAAGATTACTCCAAGTACCCTTTGCAACATCAGCCACCATTCAGGGTGTTCAGGAAGGTCCTGTTGTGGCAAGACTGACTGGGAGAGTAGAGAAGAGGAAGCAGCTCATTTTAAACACCGGATTACAAAAGCAAAAGTCGAAGATGAAATTGCAAAGAAAACAAAATACTCAGGAAAATAACCCAGACAAGCCACTAAGCAGCATTCACTTCCATACCATTTTCTTTCTATGCATTGGAGCAGCTACCCCAGCAAGTGCTGCAGCATTTGGTAAGCAGAGCAGTTGAAAGGTACTTAAGGAGACAAAAAACACACCACACAGATTAATCAACACATTGTATATGTAGCTCTGATTTTTCCTTTTTTTTTTTTCTTTTTAAACAGTGTTTAAGAAAAATATTCTGTGTTGCCATAACAAACTAAAATGCTCTCTCAATCTCTTAAGATTTTAGTTTTTGTTTTCAACTATTTTGGTTCCAAGTAGGCTTATTTTTCCTTGTCTTCTTTATAAAACCTTCTCTCAACATTAATGGCTTCAGGCAGAAGAAATAAGGTAGAATTATGAGCATAGAAGAGGGCTCACAGTCTGCTTCCTTTCTCTTGTGCACTACAGGCAGGCAGGCATACAGAAGAAATAGGGCATCATGTTTTTATATAGTCAGACAGGAATTCCAGATGGCATTCACTAAGCAAAAGGGAACGTTTTCCTCATCTAAAATAATTGTTTAAATCCCAGCCATACATAGCTATGGAATAATGGGGTCACTTATTTTCCACTAGTTCAGTAGGATGCTGCAGCAAGCTAATGGTTCCATAAAATAGACAGTTTAAAGCATTGATTTGCTGCAAATTGCTCAATCCATAACTAATGAGCAGCTCTACATATTTTCAGTGAATCAATCCCATTAGAATTTACAGTTTGCATATGACCATATTACTCATCTGTGGACACAGACTGGAGGCTTTTTTTATAACTTTCATCAGCCCTTTCTTGTTGCTGTTTTTCTTAAATTTGTTTTTAATTTCAATTGATAGATAGGATAAAAATATCTCTCTTGAGGGTCTGACAGCATACCTGAAAAAATACACCATCCTAGTCTACATAAGCACACATGCATCCCCTGTCAAGTCCTAGATATTCCCTTGCAGAAGATAGTTAACATCCAAAAGGCAGGACGAGATGACAGGTGAAATTTAGCCCCTGTAGCACTAAAGCCTTGCCCCAATTTGAAGGTAGATTTTAGGTTTTTTTACACCTGTAAAAATGTGAAGTTATATGGCAACTGGTATTTGGACCCACAGAAGTTATTCTACACAACAAGCTGAAACCTCTCCTGTGTGAAAAAAGTAGTAAAGGCAAAAACTTGTATGGATTGAGTGACAGGACTTTAGTCACACATCTGCAGGGTAGAAACAAAATTTGTTAGCAAGCATACCTTGCTTTGTTAGAAGCAGGGTATGCTTGCTAACAAATCAAGTTCTGGATTACTTTATTAGTTTGTGTGCCAGGAGGTTTGTACCATCTTTTCCCCAGGCTTTGTAAGAAACAGGTCAGTTCTATTGTTATCAATTAGTACAACAAGATCATTTTAGGCAAAATAGTTATAGGCAAGCAATGAATCCTCTCAATGAATTCATAGACTCTCAATGAATTCATAGACTCTGAAAAATTGTATTGGTTTTTTACAAAAGAGCTGTGGCTGGAGGGCTGTTTGTTATTAGGGAAGTGCTGAATCATCCCACTCCAACTGCTCTTGCCTAGTGGCATTCTGTTTGTCTCCCTTTTGGACAATCACTTTCTCCTCTTCCTCCTCTTCCTCCTCTTCACTGTCATCTGATTCAGCACTGGTTGTGTCTTCCTCTTCATCATCTATGTCTTCTTCCTCACTCTCCTCTTCTGTCTGGTGTGGCTTTTCATATTTCTACAATACATTTAAAGAAATAAGACAGTAGCAGAAAGGTGCCTTCTTGACAGCCAGAGCTATCTCAAATGAGCATTTATAAATGCTAACATGCTGGGCAAATCTGCTTTCCATCATCATGTGATTATTAGGCATCAAATTTATACAAGTTGGTAGCAAATATTCAAAAACTACTGCAAGAAGAATGGAATGTCAATAATCAATCTGTTTGTTAGCCACACTAACAAAATTTAAACCTTCAAAATCAGCTTCTTTAAACTGTTGATGATTTCCCCTCCTTTTAGTGTATAAATGCTTACATGAAAAAGTTAAAACCAAAGGAACTATATCATCTTGGGTACCTACAAACAGACATGGATGGAGTGGAGGTGATGCTGTACGTGAAAGTTCTTCACCATCTTCTTTAGTAATTACACATGACAACAAATCTGAAGTTCTCAATTATATCAGATCAAGGTGTGCAGAGCTGAGAATTGGGCTGGGGTCTTTAGTGTACACACACACAGCTGAACAACTGCACCCTGAAAGAAGCTCAAACCCACTGCCAGCCCAGCCAGTGGCTCCTGGCAGTGCCAGGATGCAGTGCTGTGCCCCAGTTAAGTACCTCCATGGGGTTGACAGTGATGGTGAGAGCAGAGTCATCCCAGTCCATCTCGATCTCCTTGGTTCCCTCGTGCCCCATGGAGCTGTGTTGACGGGCTGAGCATAGCTGGAACACACCCAATGTTACCACCAACACCAGGATGCTCACACAGATGATGATAACGATCATGGCCACGCTGGGAACCACTGGGACAAAGGGTAGCAAAAGGAATGCAATTACACTTGTGGAACAAGTAATCTAAACGTCACTAACTTCGTTAGTTTTCAAACCACAGCACCCCCTCCTTTGGACTGAGAATCAGGACAGACACCTGCCATGTGCCATGTGCCTGGGATGACAGAAAGTGTTGACCAGTGCCCATCCATTAAGGTGGAGCACACACAAATGGTGTTCACAGATATCTTATCCCGAGTATGATAAATCCTAAATAAACAGTGAGCATGCTCACATTTGCTCTTTGAGCCACTTAACTACAGAAGACAGGTATTTAGTAAAGGCAGAATCAAATAGCATTTGCAGTAAAATTCTGTTGTCTCACTTGCATATTGACCCCTTCTGATCACAGCTGAGGCCTGAAACTTACTTGAGACAAAATGTATATTGCAAAGCTTCTTTTTTTCAAAGGTTTCAAAAAATAAATGCTTTGCCACCCAGAAATAAATGCATTGTCACCCTATTTGCCTGTGTTACAACCTTCTTGGGAGACCCTTGAGGACTCAAGACAGTTTCCCCACTGTTTGGTTGTACTCTGAGAGGCCCCTGTCTCCACCTAGTCACAGGAAGAAGTCTCTCTGAACTACTGCATGTAATCAGCTCCGTTAGTGGAAAAATGCTGCCACTTTCTATGTACCTCGAGGTACTGCAGTTCCAGGAGCATGGGATAACCTAGTCCATAACCCATTTTGTTGCCTTGCCCTGCCTATAAGAATGTAAGTCTGAAATTGAAACAGTATCTAGGAACAAAAAAAAAAAAAAACTTGTTTGCAATAGTTTATCCATTAAATATTCAGTTTCATTTTAATGAAGTGTCTCTACAATGCAAAGAAAAAGTAATTTTCTAAGCATCTCTGTATATAGCTACTTACAATTGCCTACACTTTACATCAGCTTTACTTCTTTACATATATATCATTCAGCTAAAAGGATTTCAGAAGCCAACTTTCAAACAGGTATCTTTGCCCTGCATTTAACTCCACTGAAAAGGCTTCAGATTTGGGTATATATTTTAACTCATATAACCTAAAAATTAAATTAAAATATATACTATACATTTTTTAACTATGAGGGTCAGAGCCCAAAACCATCAATGAAGACTTTAAGAAAGGATACCAGGTTTTAAAAGTACATTTTTGGACAGAATAGAATTCAGAGTTACCTTCTTTCACACCTCTCCAGTGATCTAAGAGGTCTTAGGAGCTGAAATAATGGACCTCAGGGCTTTAGTCTGTGGAGCAGGCTGACCCACAAGGGAAACACTGACACATTGAATCATTGTGAGCAGTCTCTGGGAAGGTGTCACCTACCTGAGCTGTGAACTGGACTTACACTCCCCTCAGGGTGCTGAACAGATTGGAGAAATTTGGGCTGGAATATAATGTGATTTATATGGTCCATGAAGTTGGAGTTGGAACTGTGTAGAATATTAACCTGGGAGAAGAGAAAAATAAGAGACCAGATACTAAAAAGTTGTTTTATACTCCAAGCCTGCTGGTTCCATGTATTACCTTGGACTTTGTAGTTCACCAGCAGATAGGAACACTTCATAGATGCTAAAGGCCAAAATAACTCCTTCTTTTATGCCAGTGGAAAATACACAACTTAATATATTTCTAATTTGTAGCATAAAAACATTTCTGGCTGTTGACTCTGAAGTGGCACAGAACAGGCTCTTTTGATTTACCTGTTTGGATAAGTAATGAGTTTTTCTTCTTTCTATATTAATCAGCTTTTAGGTGTTACCTAAACATTATGAAATAACTGTTAATTTTATTAACCATTTATTATGGTTAATAAATTAATAGTTAAAGTTGTTAATTGTCTTTATAAACACTTACTTAAAACTGATTTTGATCATATTGCTAAGTAGGTCCTGCAATTTCCTGGAGTTGTTACCTGGACTCTAGGCCTCAGTGCTAGGTTGGAAAACATGACTCAGTCATTGCTCACCTCCAAGCTGAACTCATTGCTCACCTCCAGGCTGAACTCATTGCTCATCTCCAGGTTGAAGTCCCTGCTCACCTCCAAGCTGAACTCATTGCTCACCTCCAGGTTGAATTCATTGCTGCTGTAACGCCCATTGAGCTCGGAGCACTTGACCCTGAACTTCCTCTCCAAGGTGGCCGAGGTGCCCCAGTTGCGGTAGCGGAGCTGCCGCAGCACCTGCTCGTAGCTGAACATGCTGTCCACGCCTGTGGGGTGGGAGGGCAGGGACAGCTCTGGGACAGGCAAGGGAGCACTGCTCTGGCAGTACACAACAAATCAACTGCTCACAGAGCACACGGAACTCAGAAGAATGGTCTGGAATTGACAGAGCATCAGATGTTTCCTGATACTTGATTATATGAGGATAGTTTTAGGAGCTGAATGTAGGTCCCTAATGGAGAGGGGGAAAATACAACAATGGTACAGAATAAATTACTTAGTGATGAGAAAAAGATGGCAAATGTCCCAGAATTGTACAGGAACACTGAGGAGCCTCCTCACTCCCATGTTCCACTGTGATGGTCTGCAAGAACCCCACATTTAAAGAAAGCAGAGATGCCATTTTCCTTACAATCCAAAGGGCAAACACAGCACATCCAGAGATCAAGAAGCAACTGTGTTTTTTAAGATACAGTCACCCTTGGGATATTTTCATGGTTAGAAAATCACAGATTTCTGTCCAATTCCTTACATATTTGAGCATTCATTCCAATATATAATTGATGTGACAAAATAAGGGAAAACAAATTTCCTGAACTTACCATAGATTGAATATCCTGCAGTGGAATTTGTGGCATCTAGATGTTTTCCTTGAAGCTCCCCATGATCTAGTTCTAAACACTCTTGTTCAGGGTCTAGTTCTGCACCAATGACCAAAACATCACAGAAATCCAAGTTGTGGAGCATTTCCTTTACTGCCACTTGTTTATTGGCTGTGAACCCATGGCATAGGGCATGAAAAAAAAGACGGAAATGAAGATAAATGATCACAGAACAGCTCAGTCATTTTATGTGCTTTGCATCACAGCTTTCAATTTTTTCCAAGATGGCTGAACTGTTTTTGCTGATATTAAATCCAGCACACTTGAAGCAAATCAAGAGAAGTGTACGATCTGCACAGCTGCTGTGATGATGAAGGCCTACAAACACCCAGTGAGATAAATAGAAAATATATTGCTCTGTAATATAAGACTGCCAAGAACATTACTGGAAGTAGAAAACTGAAATTTGATCTTGGAAATAAATTCATGTAAAAATTTCTGTGTTTCAAAACTGTATTGATACCAGTTTTCTCAAGGAAAACCAAACTGGAAAAATACACATCCAACATATCTATGTTTGGATGATTCTCTCAGTTACTCTATGCCCCATAAACAATTTACATTACAAAGACCTGGCTATCTATCTAAGAGCAGGGCATTATTATAAATAGCAAGATCCTGTGCTGTGCGACTTAAAGAAATTAAGTTATAAACTGACTGTCCTTCAACATGTACAAGTAAAAAAAGAATTCTGTTACTGGAAAAAGAGTAACATATCATATTAATATTTAAATTCTCTGATTAACTTAGTACAGAGTGTGCAGCAAAACTGCTTAAGCAGCTCCCTGAGGGCATAGACACTGCAAGTCTGGAACTTCCTGCCCATTTGTCAAATTGGATGTTAGAGGGTGTATTGGGAAGGAGGGCACAGCCAGGAAAGCCTTATGCCCTAGATAGCAAACTCCTGGTGCAGTTGGGTACCTAAGCTCTAAGTACAGCTGTAACATATCCAAAAATGCCGCCCAAGTCAAATTTGTAGGCTTCAGGTAATCCATGCCTGTAAACTTGCATACTGCTACCCATTTTCTCTTCTCCAGAGACATACATCTAGTTGCTGCTTATTCTAGTCCAACAAACAGTGTTAAGAATGATTCCTCAAATTACTAGACATTTCATCTGCCTTGCACACAAACATTCAAAAGGAAGATTCCTTTATAGACAATGGTTTTAAACTTGATTTATCCTTTTGAACATCCACACAGTGTTGAATAATTATACACACATTGCTTAGTATTAGAATAAACATTGAAACTAAATATTTTTAAAGGATTATACATACATTTTATAGGTGGTAAACTGAGGAATGAGATTACTTTCTCAAGTATTACTCACGAGCTAGTATCAGAGCTGGAAATGTAAGAGCAGACTAAAACTTCCACTTTTGCTCAATTACTGCTTTTCACCTTATCAGCACAATTAACAAAATTCTGTTACCAGTAGAGGCATTCTAATGAAAATACACTACTTAACAGAATTTGAAAGGAAGAGTAGAAAGAAATTATTCTAAAGTATACTAAGTGGATACTACATGGAAAATCTGCCCTTTTTTGAAGCACTTTCTGATCTGCCACCATTTAACACATTTTTCAATGTGTTGAATTGAATTTATTCAGTACAGCATTACTGTGGCCTGATTGGGTGAAGTGACTTCCTTTGCATTACTTGTTTGCACCATCCTTTAAAAAATATGAGGAGACATTATGAAATACTAATAATATTTAAAAGAAAGACACAAACCTCTGCCAATTTCTCTTAAGTCCGCTGAATGTTCCATTTTAGAGACTGTGCTGACAATCCTGATGTCAGGTAACAAAATAACACCTCTTTCACTTTCAAACTGTGCAGCTGGTCTAGCAAAGTGGTCCATCCCAGTTATGGTAATCTTGGGCTCATTGGCCTGAAATACCATTACATAGGCATCTATATCTGGGATACTAATGCAGATATCTTCACCAAAACATCTGAAAAGATACATCAATCATTAACTGCATGTAACATATTACACATCAGTGGAGTGTGGCACTGGCAATGCCCCAAGCCCAGCTCATGGCTCTCAGATCAGTCCAATTCATTCTCAGGCACTACCACACATGAGGACATATTCCAGTACCACTGTGCACAGAGGCCAGCTCTGGCCCTCTCCTCCCTTCCCTCTGATTCTGAGAGACAAACTCAGTCTTGCCTAAGATCACTATCAGAATAATACTTTAATGTTTAACTGACATTTAACAGAGAAGTAAATGATTAAGAAAGTTAACTAGATAACAACTAACTTTAGCAAACCTAACATTAAATTTAGAAAGTGGTAGCTAATGAAAACAATATGGTTATCCTATCATGTGTGATTAAAAGGGCCTAATTTTCCATTTAAATTGGTCCCATTATGAACTCTTTTTGGGACCCTCCAATATTTGCAGTGGACAAAAGGTGCCTGTACTTCCATTTTCACCTGAATCAGCAGTGTGAAGTGAATGTCCTGACAAGCTCTGCCTCATTTCATGCTGGCACAGGAGCTGGGCCAGCCCCAGAATGTGCAAGCTGGGCTAGTTCCAGTGGGACTGCCTCAGGAGCTGCTCCTGCAGCTGGGAGCTCAGCCCACAGCACAGCCCTGGCACTTGGGAACAGCTGTGCCCCCAGCAAGTGAGAGTTGTTAGAACTGGGTTTGTTTTCCCTCCAAAGCCCTGCTTTCCCTGCTCTGGACAGGGCAGAGCCCAGGAGAGGTGGTGGGCAGCTCTGAACATCATTGTGCAGCTGCTGTCACTGTGCTGCACAGAGAGGGATGGACACAGACCCTTCCAGCCTCCACCAGTGCTCCACGGACAGTACAGACATCCGGGGACAGATACACAGGCTGTTTCAAGCACACCTACAGATACTGCTCTTGTAGATATGTCCTCTGTTTGACGGAAAATGCATTAAAAAGTCATGGCTCTGGATATCTCAGAAGGAACCATAAATGTTTAAAATTAAAAGTTAATAAGATTGCAGTCAATGCACTGTTCAGTCCAGACTGTATGCCTCAAACTATAAAGAGAATGCAAGTACATTACACTAACAAGAAAGGCTTTTAAGAAGGTAATATCAAGAGTAATCCACCATGTAAATTGGCATAAAAGTAAATTAAATTAATTCTTTAAGGTTCAATAACAAAACAATATGATTTATCAATTTAATTTAGCCAAAATTATTCTTTTAACATGGCCAAAGAGAAAATTAGTTCATTAAAAGTGTTCATAATCTGTTCAATTCAGCTGAAGTATAACTTACTGGACTTTAGATGAGACTTTGAGACGTCGTGCGCCTGCAGTAGGAAACTGTCTGGAGTTGATGTATGAGACCTTTTGGAGGGCTTGATTTATATTCTCAACGTCATCTCCTTCCATGACGAGGACTGACTGGGAAGGATTGAAGTGATACTGGGAGAAGTACAAATAATTAGTATTTAAGAGACCAGGTACAGAGTACAAAATAATACATATTTTTAAGGAATGATGCACGGACATAAGTTAAAAATTTAATGATTTAAGAAAAAAAACTCAGTAGCTATCATTGGCTGAATCCACATGTTGTTCTCATGTATACATTTACTTGTATCAGTCACCTAAATGACTACTGTTGTAATTAATTTTGTACTAAATTAATCCAGATTTGCTGTTCTTTTCCCAGCCTTATCAACCTTGCTGATACAATTTTTGCAGCAATTTGCAATGCTATGTATTTTTGAACTCTGTAGAGGTTCAAAACCTTAACTTACCACCATGATTATTATTTCTATGTAATCTTTTTAGGTTAAACACATTCCCCATACAAAAGCATTGCCTTTTGAGCCAGCCTAGCATGCAGAAGCATATTTTATCTGCTTTCTGTTGTGGTTTTATCCTGGGCTACCTTTCTGAGATATATTTCAACATGAATGAACAAAACAATTACAACATTTGCCTCTTACATCTTCATTAATTTTAAACATACTAAAGGGGACTCTCCATCCTGTCTGATGATCAATAAGGGTGTCATGATTTAAGATGGAGCTGCTCACTGGGGCCAGCAAACCCTGCAAAGTCACTGCCTGCTCTTGTAGCCCCGAGCCTTCTCTACTCCATTGCACTGAACACAGATCAGTCTTGCTGACCAAAAACCTTGTCACTGTTGTGACATAACCAATGACTGATTTTTACCTTCATCATAATTAATCCTAATTCCATGTTTTATCTATTAATTGGTTCAGTAAACCATCTGCATTACCAAGGAAACCAGGGTCACCCGCTTGACATTGTACACTACTGTTGCCAGCACAGAACAAAAATGTACCTTTCTCTCCTGGACAGGCTTTCCCCAAAGCTGGCCATTGATTATGTGAAGATGTTCTGTTAAAATACAGACAGTGGCTGCCTACATTTCGTTACAGCCAGAAAGGTTAAAAAGTAAAACACATGAGATAGATTGTGAAAAACAGGAGGAAGTGCAGCGTCCTTTGTCAAACATGGAGGACTAGGTTTAAAGCTTGTGCAGGAAAGTCACAACACACTGAAGGATATTTTTTTTACAAAGAGGAGGACTAACATGAATCCCAGTCTACATATACTTCTTTTTCCTCTGTTTAAGCTAGCAACAGTAGAGAATAAAATTAACAAAAGGAGACCCTAGCTAGCCAGTTAATAGCTCAGCCACCAAAACAGCTGGAACGCTGCCAAAGGGACCAGCAAAAGGCCCACTCCGAGCCATTTTTATCTTTCTCATTAAAAAAAGCTAAAAATAGCAACAGGTTAGACAGTGTCTCAGAGAGCCGTTACAGATATCAAAAATTAGGCTGCAGCCCAAAACCAGTCAACACTATCGTGTCAGAAACTGCTGCTACACTGCTCTTTCTTAGGTAGTTTAAGTGTGAATCTCCATGGTCCAAAATGCCCAAAACACCTTCCAGTATCAGTCTGCCAACACTGAATCTGCAGAGCACCACATAAACAGCCCCACAGAACCCATCATCTGTGCAGCTGTCACACATGCCTGTCTGGGATCAGGTGTGTTTGTTTTTAACACCACAACACCTTTCTCTCTCATTTTCTCTTCAAGGTCAGGCAACTGTTCTGCTTTTAACTGAGCTTCCTTCTGTCAGCCCCCCAAAGAAACCTTTCCACAATCTCTCTCTGATTGCTCCTTTCATTTTTGCCTCCTGCTGTTGCTCTCACTGTTGGCTTGCTGAGGCAGTAAAAGCAACATCAGTAACTTAAAAACCCCACTATGCCTCATCTGTATTTCAGAAAATGAAGATGTTTTGAAGGTTTGCAAAAGCATGAAAAGGCAGAAAACAATCTCTTGCCTTCCTTTTTTCCTCTGCACTGCCAGTACAGTGAGGAAGCCAGTCACAAATGCTGGAGCAGCAGTGGGTGGTAGAAGAAGGATTTTCCCAAGCCCATGAAACAGGGGTGACTTAAATATTGTCAGGTTTCAAAGGGCAACAAGAGGGGAGGAATTACTATGCTTTAAAGCCCCATGGACGAAGTGTACAATGCTTTAATTAATTGAAAATCCCAGCAAAGAACTAACTATTAGGCATACACATGTGGGTTCCAGAAATCCCTACCTCCTCCTTGTATGCACTACCTTTTAAACAGCTTTAACTGACCCCTGTGTCCTGTTGCTGTGAGGAGCAGCAATGTGAAATTCTTAATGATGTCCTTGGTAGGATGATAAAATAATTCTTTGGGGTCTTTCCTCATATGTAAAAGTTAGTGCTAGCAAATTTCCTCCTTACCTTTGCACTTTCAGTTTTCATTTTTACACTTGTTTTCACAAAATGTACCAGTTATACTACAACCTGTCATCACCCAGATAGGCATTTGGGCACATTTCAGGTCGATCTGTACCACAGAAAGGTTTGGCTAATAAAATGCTGTCCATGGCACTCCTACTGCATGTTCCAGATGTAGTGTTACAGCACCATCTTCCTCCCCTCTGAAAACCCCATAACAAAACACCCCTGTTCAGTTTCTCAGGATGAATTGTCTGCACCCAAAGGAACTTCCTGGGCTGGAACGGAAGCTCAGCTCCTTTGGAAGCAGTATTTGTGTGCTAGGAAACAGCTTCACAAATTCATTTACTCTGAGCATAAGAACACTGTCACCAAATAATGATGTCAGTAAAAGAAAACTGACAATGCAGCTTAAGTGAGCATTAGAATAGCCAAGATCCTACATATGTATCCAAAGAACAGCATTTCAGAATTATCTGAATGAATGCAAACCCATCTAGCCACTAGGTCAACTGAAACAGGATTTCCCTGTCTGTTGTTCTCCACTCTTAGAAAAAGCTCTACATTACCAGTAGTCATATGCATAATGAAGATGGATAATGACTTATATTCAAATCTAAAAATTTAATTTCTTGACTTTAGGGTTTTTTGTGTTCAATTTTCATGTACCATGAAGTTTTCCTCTTTGAATGCACTGATTTTTAGAATGTTATTGCATTAAGACTTATGTATTCCACTGCTTTAAAACTACTTGAGATTAAAATTCAATAAATCTTTGGAATCATGTCTATTTCTGTAGAAGTAACAAAATAAGCATGAAAACACAACCTGGCAATTCATACAGACTCTGTAGTATCAGCAGTGCCTTATTTTCTGATCATCTAGCTCTGCAATAATAGAGGCATTTTTCTTTGCAGTGTCATAGCTCTTTTACTGTTCTGTTTTTTCTTTTCATGATTTTACATTGCTTCTAGGAGTACATTTGCACTGTGTGTACTCTACCTTGGGCTCTCCATTTCATAAATCAGATCTAAATTTTTATCAAAGATGATGTCAGTTCATCCCTCACCTTTATTCCTTGGCCAAGACTCTCAAGAGAATTAATATCGAGACCTTCCTTGCAGGCCTGCAAACAGGAAATCACTTTCTGGCTCTCAATTTTCCCTGGTCGTATTGTCAGACCGGCCAGGCTGCCATGAAAATATTGAGCAAACCTGGGCTTGGTGACTTCACCTCCTGCAAAAAAGAGGATGCAAAATGGTTATTGGTACCAACACACAAACTGCATATATAGTAAATCACTTGATGTTTTAACACATTTAAAGAATCTCCATCCATCTCAGTCAAGTGTATTTGAGACCTCCTTTATTGTGGTACAGTGGAATGTATTTGTGGGTTATTGGTTGGTGTCTGGTAGCAGGCTGTCTTTAAGATTCTTGATTTTCCAGGATTGTATTCAGGTGTTTATAAAGCTGAGACAGCAAACCCAGAGGTGAAGCATGGCTTCACAAGTGTATACAAGGAAGCCGGTGATTTTTAAAAATTATCTTACTCGAGTACTCAAAGACCAATATTTATTTATAAAAAACAGTATTTGCAAGTGTTCCATGACAGGATCAGCTACCTATGACTTCATCCTCCCAGGAACACAGTAACAGATGAGCTGAGAGTGGTGGCTCTGTGTATACAAACTGCCACACTCCCTGGGCTGTGTCTGAGGACATTCTGGGAATTCCAGCAGTGAGCAGCCCTGTGCACAGCCCCTCTCTGAGAGGCTGGGAGTGCTGTCCCTGACCCAAGGTGCATCATTTGGTGCCAGGTCTGGTCCTGTCACTCTGTGTTGCACCAGGCCCTGCAGACAGCTCAGTTTGGTTTCACTCTAGGCAGCTCCAAAGGAAGATTGATCTTTAGGAGCTGTCAATAAAACATGATTACAGACTGCCTGCTCCAGAGATCATGACATCTCAATTACTCTTGGGACACTTAGTGATCATCCTCCTTTTGAAGGATTTTTAGAACTTGTCTTTACTGTAATGTTATCTCTCTCAGTGCATGTGAATTACTGCCTACCTCCAGCCTGGGAGGACCAAGGAAGCCACACAACAGTGAGCCAGGCAGACTAATTGGATTAGCAGTTGATAAGCTGTTGATAAGGTGTTGTAATTGGTAGATATCTCATCTCTACAGTGTTTGTAGCTTTAGTATCAAACAATTTGGTTTTGGCAGGCAAGATAGCTCAAACTTGAACTTTGTCTGTGAATTGGAGCTTGATAAGGATGAAGTGGTGGATTTTCTTTAGGCTGCTGTTGTTACCTAAAAGCCTGAAAACCCTCACTTCCAGTCTCTGCAGGATGACCGGAGACTGGAAGAAGTCTTATGAAGAAGACTCAAGCTATTTTATGTAATGAAGAAAATACACACTGGTGTATTGGCAAGAAAGGGGTGTCCAAGCAGGCTGTTTCTTCAGAGAAGTAGGAAGGGCTTTTTTGTTTGTTTGTTTGGGTTTTTTTGTGTGGTTTTCTTGGTTTGGTTTTGGTGGTTTTTTTTGGTTTTTTTTTTTTTATTTTTTTTTTTTTTTTTTTTTTTAACATTATAGCATAAACTGCCTCTCTTTTTCTTACCCCAAAGGAAGGTTCCCAAGGGGAGATATTCTTGTCCACTCTCATTCATTTGTCCATTACACAGGAAATTTCCTCTGGGCAGAATTTTGAGATTTTTTTTTTTTTTTGAGATTTCCTAGAAACTTTCATGTATACAACAGCTAAAGTTTAGCCTTTCTGATACTTACCAAGACAATTACTTGGTAATTATTTAATCATAAATATATAATATTATATTATTAAATGTATTATGTTGGTTATTATCTATTATTATATTTTATTATTAATATATTATACTAATATAGATTATAATAACATAAAATTTGTTATATATTATTTAATTTATTATTAAATATATATTGTTTAATTATATATAGTTAATATATATATTATTTAGAATTATAACTATAAATAAATAGTACATTATGGGGACATTGGCTTTTCAGCCAAAATACTGTTATATTTATCTGCTTACATTGTCTTTAAAAGCACACATACAGCAGTAATATACCTGGACAGAAAAAGGTATGCTGAATTAAAAATAAAAAAGCAAACATCTCCTTTAAAGGAGACAAAATAATTTAAGAGCTTACAGAAGAAGAAGGAATCACATTTTATTTGAAGTTTCACATTCTCATATCACTACAGAATTGTGAAGACAGCAACTTCAAAGGCTAAAATACCAACACTAATCCTGGAGCTTTGAAATTTAGAAAGACTGCCAGTAGGTCTTAATAATTCTGAGGCAATGCAAAGTAAGAAGCAGACTAAGATCTGTGAATGTATTTAAATCTGAAATACACTCATTAAAATGTATATAAAAGATCAGGCAAGAAGCCAGAACAAAGAACTCAGTGCTGTGTCTTTGCCTGACAGAAACAAGCAGAATGAACCAAAGCATCCATGAACAGATACTGGTTGTTCTTCCACTTTCGTATTCTTGACAAAGCAGTTACAATTAAATTGCTAGTTCATTAACAGTGATACAGTATTTGCCTATAAATCATTAAATATGCAGGGTATTCAAGCCACACTTAAGTGTGCCCAAGCCACACTTAAGAAATGTTTGTGCACAAGGAGGTATTAAATTGAATCTTGGAGATGTATAATTCTTGTTTAAAGTCATTTGTACAGCCACCAACATAAAAGCATGGAAGGCAATATGAGTGTTTCCAGGAATAAGCTTTTAAAAGACTCTGAAAATGCATGCACTACAAAAACATTGAGCATTTAAAAGAGCAAGGCTTACACACCCTCTTCGCAGGAATAAGGAGGTGTTTGTGCAGGTGCAGAGATCAAGACTGGACTGTAAAGGAGGTGACATAATCTTTGCTTGGGAGAGGCTATCAACTTAAACAAAAATCCCCAAGTATTCCAAGAAACTGTGAGTGGAAAATAGCTGGGAGAAGCCAGTGTCATATTTTTGGAGTAGAGAAAATCTGCAGAACCATGGCCATGGTGATGACAGGGTGATCCAGGCTGAGATAATGCATGTGAACAACCAAGAACAGACTCTGCAGGGACATGAAGGGATGAGGCAGTCTGTCGCCAGCCCCGAGATAAATACAGCTGTACCTAATCTATTCTTGAGAATAGTGCCTGAGTTTTCTAAACTCTTCGAAGACAGAGGCTCCCCAAGAAATCCCCTACATCGACCACTGACCCTTGAGGTGGACGTTTATTCCCAGCTGGAAACGTGAGCAGTCAGAATACATCTGTATCATTTTCCTTTGCCAGGATAAACAAGGACTTCTCTTTATCTTCCACCTAACACTGTAGACTATGAATATCCTTGTTGCTCTTCTTGGAATTATCTTCCTGAATTACTAACCGTGCGGTAGTGTTCTTGTCACTGTATGTGTAAAAGAGGATGTGCCTCTTCATCCAGGGCACTGAGAACACTAGTTTTTAATCACATGAAAAAACAAGAACACTTAAAGAGAGAATACTATCTTATACCAGATTGCTAAATAAGCCTTCCATAAGCAGCTTTTACCAGTGTTAAAGACAAAATTATATACCTGCCAATTCTGAACTTAAAGGTGAACAGAAGTCATTATATCTGACTCTTCTTACAGTTGCTTGTAAATGCAGCATGCTGTCATTTTGATATTCTTCTGTCTCAGCATTTCAGAATCTTCTCAGCTCAGGGGGGTACATTAGCTACTGATGTTCCCCTCACCAGTAATCATTAGATTGCAAATGGACAAAATCAAATGCAATAAAACTGGGAAGCAAAACCCAAAACTCTCACGAAAATTAAAGGAATTGCCTAAAGCCAGTTTCCTACAAATCCTGCTTTCTAGCTTTCATAAAATGTTTTATTCATATTTGGGTAAATTGAATTGGTGTGTTTTAAAGCTGTCTGCTTCTGCAATCTGATATTCTTTGAGTATTTGACTTCAGCTTCTCAGTGGGTGGAAATTTAGCCCAGGATGGCCAATCTCCAAATCCTAGTCACTCTAAAATTCTGAGCTCCCAAGACTAAATGAGCATAAAGATATCTAATTTGATATCTTTTATTTGAAAATGACAATTCCATTGCATGTTTAAGCATGATGGATAACTACTTGTAGATAAGTACCTAATGCTGATAGTAACATTTTACAGAATATTATCCAAATTCTTCTAAATGGATAATGACTTATATTCAAATCTAAAAATTTAATTTCTTGACTTTAGGGTTTGAGAGATCCTTTGACCCTGAGCAGGATTCATTTCATGCTCTCCATGCAGCCAACAGGCAGCTCAGAGTCAGTGGCTTCACTGGGCAGGAGGATGCTCAGTATCACTGCCTGGACTTGACTCAGCATTGATGCTACCACCTGCTAAGAAACAACTGAGAAATTACATGAGCTGGACCTAAACAGCCCTTACTGCTTTAAGGCACTTTGAGCTCTTGGTTCTGGCACAAACAACAATAAGCAACAACACTAAGAAAAAACCTTTTTGGGATAATGAAGAAGACCTAAATAGATTACACAAAGAATGAAGTGGAGCTCCAGTAATGATGGTTAAGTATATGCAAATTTATAAGTTCTGTAACACAGCATCTCCAGTTTCTCTTCAGAGCTCAAGATAACCAGTTAACTTGGATTGCCTCAGCAAGGTTCATGGGACTTACTTGCTGTCAGGGTCTTTTTGCCCTTTCTTACAAGTGAAACACTGCTCAGATACAGCTTATCTCCAAGAAGATTTTGGTAAGTTCTGAGAGAATGCAAAAACCTAGTCCTCAACTGTGTTATAGCTTGTGTTTCACTCAACACTATGTTTATTGATTGCTATGGATTAATATGCTTTGGATGCTAATTCTTGGGGGATGGTTAAGTAGTTAAGGCTGATGAATGATAGGGCCAAGAGAGGAAAACAGAACCTTCCCTGCTGTCAGGGAATTAAGTTAATGTCTGTAACACAAAAAAAGACTGAAACTACACTATAGTTTAGTCATCAACTATTCTTACTACAATTCCTTACATTAAAAATGTTTGAAGCTACTGATTTTTTTCTCTTCCTTAAATGTAAATGTTGTGGTTGTCATCACAGTCGTGAGGGAACACAGGCCACAGGGTTGTTTAGATCTTGCTGATAAAATTGGGCAATTCTTTTCACACCTGACCCAGCATGCACCAACACTCC